GGTTGATACTGTGATCCCTGAGCACCGGTATCCTTGGTTTCCATAGAGTGTAAAACATATCACTTGTATGTGTGTGTGTTGTTGTTGGTATGCACGACATGACATATAATAAAAAAAATCTCTATGAGTTGTCTAATACTACTAAATAAAACACTTAACAAAAACAATAATAAAATATTAATAATATTAATATATTAATCGTAATATGCATTGTAATTATTATTATTTTTGTTATCCAATAAACATTACATTATTTTTTTGTGTTTTGTTTGTAAATTTTTTTAAGGTATTATTTTTTAATCAATTTATTATTTTTAAATATATATATACAGTATATAAGTAATTATTTATAGTTTTGTTTTTGTATAACAAAATATATAGTTATAACTAATTAGATGATAACTATAATAATTATCAATCAATTATTAAAATTTTTTTAAATTTTTTATTGCATTAATTGATTAAATGATTTAATATGTAATATTCAAATATTATTATAAAGTTATTATATTAAATAAAATAATATTTATTATAAATATTATTTATTGTTTTTCTTATAATAACTTAATTTTTTATATAAGTGTTTATGAAAATTTTTATTTACGCTATTATATTAATAATATTAATAATAATAATAACAACAAATCAAAGTCAATAAGTCATATACAGTATAATACAGTATAAATTACTAAATTTATTTTACGGTATATTATTATTATTAGTAGTAGTATTATATAAAGTTATTGCTATAGCATTGAAAGTCAATATAAATAATTGACATAAAAATGCAATAAATTATTATTTTTATTAACCGAATAGTAACCAACAAAAAAATAATTCAATGTTATATATAGTATAATATATATATATATATATATTATATATATATATATTGTGTATTATATGTATACTAAAAATATATATTGTATTTTCACTATTATTGATAATGAAAATAATGTTATAATTTTATTCTATAGTATAAATGCTGCATAAAATTACATTATAATATACGTACATAAATAATAATAATATTAATAATTTGATTATAGCATACAATTGTTAAGATTATAATACAATACTCTATTTTTTATGTAAGATTATATAAGATTTTTAATTTTTTTGTGTGTGCTATACTTATATATATGATATACAGTATAATACCATTACTATTACTCCTCATACTCCTCAAACTGATTTATTAATACAGTATTATAATAATTATTATATTGTATTAATATTATATTATATATAAATAGTTTGTATATCTTACATTAGTATAATTACATATATGATTTATATATTTTATAGTATTATTATTTTTTAATTTTTATTGTTATATATATGTTTATACAGGAAGTTATAAAACATAATATATATATATATATATATATATATATATATATATATATATACAGATATCATACATTTATGATACAATAATATAAAATCATTAGTTACTTATATTATAAATGTTGTGACATTTATTTTTCAATATAATTATAATAATTATTATATTAAACCAATTGTTTTTAATCTAGGTAAAATTTTGTCATATATATATATATATATATTAATATGTCAAAAAATAATTTTTATCAATAATCAATAAAATAATATTTTTTATTATTATTTAGTATAGAATATTCTTTAGCAAAAATATATTGTTTTTTATATTTAATAATAATTAAGTTTTAATAATAATTAAGTTTTAATAATTAATATTTGAATGGAAAATCAATATTTGGTCTATTATTATTAGTAGTATTTTTAAAATTTTTTTTATCTTAAAGTGTATATTGAAATAAATTGAATAAAATTAAATAACTAAATAAACTAACAATACTTTCCAAACTTTATATATATATATATATATATATATATATATAWATWTATATATACTGTATAATACAATATTTAAAACTTAACTAATAATAATAATACTAGAATTTTATCTACTAATTGCTTTTTGATGTTATTTTATTTATGTAAATAAACTTATATATATATATTTAATATAACATTAGATTTATATATTGTAAAAATATATATAAGTTTAAAACAAATATTGTTGTCAATGAATACATTATACTCTCAACTAATGATGATTTTTATCAATTATTAAGTGATTGTAAATTTTTCATTACCATTAAATGACATACTGTATGGTATATGTCGTCCCTTTTAAAGTCAAAATTATTATTATTTTTCTAATTCATGTCATTTTTTATAAAAAAAAATAATTCAATTTTATAAATATTCAAATATAATTGTATGTTTGTGTGTGTGTGTGTGTGTGTGTGTGTGTGTGTGTGTGTGTGTGTGTGAGTGTGAGTGWGTGAGTGAGTGAGAGTTATAAATGATTATAATATTTGATTTATAATAACTAATGCTAACCTATCGTCTAATATAGCTATAATAACTGGCAATAAAAAACATACAAATATTATATATGATATATATATATAAATTTATAGTTAAGTGGCTGTTTAGATAGATAACTATTATTTTATATGTTATGATAGCGAGAGAGAGAGAGAGAGAGAGAGAGAGAGAGAGAGAGGCTGTCAGATATATCATCAGATATTAATAATATTATACATAAAATATTGATATAATATTACCGGTATATAAATAAATACAAGACATATGTCACATATACACCACTCAGTCTCTCTCTCTCTCTCTCTCTCTCTCTCTCTCTCTCTCTCTCTCTCTCTCTCTCACTCACTCAACCAGTTATCAGTTAAAAATACCTAACGTTTCTTTTTTTTCACTCCCTGTCCTCTCTGTCATCAATAAAATGAAAAAAACATACATATATTATAAGTACAGTATAATGATAGTAGTGTTTATGAGTTATGTGTTTAGGGATTAACACATATGTTTTGCTATCAGTTATTATTTTATTGATATTATGTGTATATATATATATATATGTAGTTTTTAAATATATATATATATATATATATATTGAAAGTATAAAATAATTATATATATATATATATATATATATATAGTATATATTGTGTGTATGTGTGAACTTTGAAACATTTGATACACAGTATATATATATAATATAATATTAAATATATTGCTGTTTTATGTATGTATTAATAAATTATAACACAATTTTGATGCAATAACTTTTATTTTAAATGTATACACTATCTATATATATCATATGTAAGTATTAAATATTATAATTATTGTGACTAAAGTGACAAACATTTATTTTATTGTTTCTTTTTTTTGATGACATATCCGTTAATATTATTGATTATTTAAAGATATAAAATAAATTTTTTAAATTATTTATTTAACATTTTCTTTTGTTATTATATGCATATTTTATATATATATATATATTAATATATGTGATATATTTTATATATGCAAATATATTGACAGATATTATTATTATTATTGTTTTAATATATCTATAAGAATATTCTGTTTTTTATTATACATAATATTGATATAAATATTTTATATGTGAGGAGAATATACTGTGTGTAATAAATATGTGCGCAAAATCATCGGCAAAAAAATATTTTATTATTATTATTATGACATCTCATAGGAATGGTATAACATTAGAGAGATAGTTGTCTAGTATTAGTGGTTTAGAAGAGACACATTATCTACCAGTGCTGGTACAGGGATGCTATCATTTGATGATTTTTATATATTGAGGAAGAGTCAGAGTCGGTGTGCGCATACAATACATGCATTTGGATCTTATATATTGAATATACATTGAATATATATAAATATAGCACAGATACATACCAGTCCTAAAACACATACACGCATATACAATATATTTATATATATTATATAAAAGTAAAATAGATCATCACTTGGGTAATTGCAAGTAGTAGTAGTAGTAGTTGTAGTATATGTGCTATACATATATATACAGTATATATATATTATATGAATGTGTGAATACTATGTGCCACCAGTGCATTGTCAATGGTATGGGAAGACCGCCTTTTATCCGTACAGTCAATATGTTTGCCAACTGAAGAAGGCTCAACCACTATAGTAGACAAACCCATCCTCTCTTTCTCTCTCTCCTCAAACAGCTATAAGCTCTGGTAGTTTGTGATGCGCCTCCCTATGCTCTCTATCACACATACAATACTACACACACACACTAACTGAATGTCTTCACTAATATAGCGATAGTTTCAATGAAAATAGGGAGAGAAAGAGAGAGAGAGAGAGAGAGAGAGATTTTATGTGTGTGTGTGAGTGTGTAAGTAAGTGTCTCTCTCCCAGTGCGCTCATATACCACACTAGTAAAACCGTTTTCTGAATTGTCTTCAAACTATCACTGCTTTTTCCAGGAGAGTGTACTCTACCAGTATGTGTGTGTCTACTACTACTACTACTACTAGTAGTAAATACATGTGAGTGTCTATACATGTATATGTGTGTGTGTATGTGTGTTGGAGGACAATATCAGTCCATAAAGACATCAAAAATACAGTTTTCAGGCCCCCGTACTAGGACTGGGCTAACTAACTAACTAACTAATTGAGTGATTTGACTGTGCTTTGCATATATATATATTGTGCTAATATTTTTTAATTGATAATTAATATTTGAATTATTATTATTATAATTAATTATATAATTTTTATTATTTGTGTGCGGCGTTATATAAACTTTTTATTTTTGTGAATCAATCAATTATTATTGATATTATTATAAAAAAAATATAATAACACATGGATTTTGATATCAACAAAAACAGCTAAACAATTATTATTATTATTATTATTATTATTATTATTATTATTATACAGTATATCCATTCAATTGTGACTACAATTAAAAACTATAGGAATTTTTATGTAGTGTGGTATCTGTGCTAATATTATTATTATTATTATTATTCAATAATAATTTATTATTGCTATATGACATAACTTTACTAAAAATCCCTTTCCCATCGATAAGTAAACTATAATATACTAAATAAATTGAAAGAGTGCCGCACCGGGAGATACAATTAAAAAAAAAATTATGTCAGGTATGAAAAATTCATGTATAAATAAATAAATATATAATATTTTATTTAATATATATATATATCTGATTACTCTTTATTGTCTATAAAAATAATTTTTTTATATATCATTATTTACCGACACTTACTCTGTATGATAGTTGACAACAAATTAAATCAATTGTCTTAACTCCGGTTGTCCCGCAAAATAATAGACAGTTTGGTATATATAATAATAATAATAAAAAATAATTTATATATATATACTAGTGCTATATAAAAAAAAATTAAAATAAAATTGTATTAATTAAATTGACATAATTTTTCATATTATTATTATTATTAATATACATTAAAAATTTCTATCTTTATACTATACTATTACTATCTCTATTGACAATTTACACACCCACTCACCCACTAATTCATAGATTGTTGCTTTATATATATATATACTTAGAAATATTTTCTCAGACAAACAAAACTAAATATATTGTTAATTGATTAGATATTTATTATTATATATATATACACAAAAAAACTATAGCATAAAATATATTAAATGTTTTTATTATAATATGTATTATACTCTACTAATAATTGTACAAAAAAATATCAATTTTTTTTATTTGTTTTGATAGACCTTAATATGACAAATAATTAAGATATTATTATTATTATCAACATTATTAAAGGTGTATTACATATAATCCCTAATAAAAATTTTTGTTACTTTATTTGTCTTCAAATACTTCAATAACTATTTTGTTATCTCATTTTTCACACACAATACTTATGTTTTTTTCATAAGTTGTATTTATTGTGATATCAATTGTCTATTTTTCTTATTTATTGATAAATATATATATATATATATAGAAAAATCAAGTTTTTATATTATATATATATCAATGATTCACTCAATGATTTATCTAAAACTGATTGATAGGGCACTTACTCACGGAATTGACGGAATTATTATGTATTCACTTATAATAATAAAAAACATTAATTGTATTTATACTGTATTTTGTTGTAGTTTTTTTTATTGCTGTAAACTATGGCCTTAACTAAAAATATAACAACAAAAATATATATAAGACATTTAATAGGTTTCTCACTTATTTCTCTCTCTCTCTCTCTCTCTCTCTCTCTATATATATATATATCTGTTTGTCGCATCAAAAAATGTGAAACGGCTAATCAATTTGAAAGCCACACATAATAATAATAACATAAATTGTTATGCACTTTATAAACACACACTCCGGCACCCGTTGGTGAAGACCCTACCGTTCCTCGTAATAGATATACACTACACACATATATATATATACTGTATATAAAAAACTGTTTGCCTAACTTTGTATAATACTTATGTGTGTGTGTGTTTTACTGTATATAATGTTTTTTTAACTTAAAGATACCCCTCATTGAAGCAAAATATCTATTTGAAGTAAAAAAAAAGTATTTATTAGGGCTTCTTATCCTCTCTAATGTATGAAAACATCTGTATTTCAAATATATATATTTAGAATAAATCTCTCTCTCTCTCTCTCTCTCTCTCTCTCTCTCTCTCTCTCTCTCTCTCTCTCTCTCTCTCTTAAAAAATAACATAAAATTTGTCAATTGATTAAATATAATCAAATTTAATAGTTTTTTCATTGTCTCTATATGTTTAAGTCTATGGGTAACCAAAACAATATATATTTATAAATAACTAATTAATTGATAATTTGTTCAAAATTTTTTTTTTACTAATATCTTATTATACAATAAATATTTTTCTTATGCTTTACTTTTAAAGTAAAGTAAAATATATGAGTTATATCTAAATCACATATTTTTCACACTTTTGGTTTATGTATTAAACGGCATATGTGTGTGTGTGATGTTAGTGTACTGTGTATTATAGCACAGGGGCTTTAGGACCTTCAAAAAAATAAATATCAGTGAAAACAACAATTTTTTTGTTGTACAAAATAAATACATAAAGTGTGTGTATATGTCACACACACACACACACACACACACACACACAAACGTGACTATAACTACTCAGAAAACTTACATGGATTCATCTACCAGTGCTCATACATACATACTGTATATACACACAAATAGGTCACATAAAGTAACTTTATATATATATATTATATGAGTAACCAATTTTCACACAAAAAAACCTAAATGTCTTCAACAACAACAAAAATATATGATAAAAGTATATATATATATATATATATATATATAAATATGGATATAATATACATAATAGTATATACAATATATATATATTGGGGGTAAAAGTAATATTGAGATATTTATATATAATTTTTTTTAATAAGTTAATAATTGTATTGATAGTATCGACTCTTTTATTATTATTATTATTATTATTATTATTAAGTGTTAAAACCTATTAATTCATAACACATACATAATGTTTGTGTTTGTGTGTATTTTTCATTAAAAAAACAATGTAATATAATATTACCTACAAAAAAGTTTTTAAAATACTGTTAAAAAATCAAATAAAACAACAACAAAAAAGTTTGTTGTTGTTTTTATTTTGTGTATAATAAAAAAAATAAAGTTTTATTTTCATTTATTTTTTTTGCTGAGTTGTCATATAAAAAGATGTCATATATTTATAATTTTTATGAGGTATATGTCATATCAATTATATATATACACAATATATATGTGTTTTATTTTTGTTGTTGATATCACATTACTATCTATTTTTCTCATGTAGTTTCAAAATAAAACAAAAACATTAAATACCTGTCCTCTCTCTCTCTTACTGAAATTGGTATGATATGGTTATAAATTATACTGTCATTCCTTGGTTTATCACTTTATATAGTATAAGCTATATATATATATATATATATGTTTATATCCTACTGTGTTATCTATAGGCGCTCATCATAACGATTCTCTCTCTCTTACTATTATTGAAATGAAATTTTATTTTATTATTATCTTATAAGTCATTTATATATACTGTATATCTATTTTATTTATTATAATATTATTAGTTTTGTTTTATTGTATAACTTAATTTTGCTAGTATCTATGATATAGTATTGTATGATACAATTTGACAGTTATATATATATATATATATATACTATAGTCAATTGCTCTGGTATTATTTATTATGCTATCAAACATATAAAAATTTTTATTATTATTATATTAAACATATAACTGTCACCGGTATTAACTCATCTAAACAATTGTGTTGTATATATATATACTGTAGATATGAGACAATTATTGTGTGTATATATATACATGAAATTTCATATTTTTTTATACATTGAAGATAAGTAAGACAATTGATATAATAGAGTTAATCCCATAGAGATATATAATAATAGATATTAACTATAATATATTAATAAATTTATTGTAAATACCACTTAAACACTTAGTTGATAATATCATATAAATGTGTGAAATTGTACTGTAATTGTATGTATTGTATATATATAATCATCACATCAATGAATATGTACTTCAAATAAAATCTATAAAAAAATACGTTAATCATTAAATCATTCATGTATTTTTATTTTTGTTGTATAGTTAATAGCAAATATAAAATAATAATAATAATAATAAATATAAAATATTTGTAGATTTTTTTCAAGAAATACACAATATTTTTCATCTGAAAAGATAAACTAAATAACAAACAAACAAAAATGAGAGAAAAGTGAGAGAAAAAAAATCATTGAAAGTCATAACTAATTATTATTTATAATATATGTATAGCTATTAATTAGTATACAATCATAATATTATATATATATGAATATTATCACCGGATTTCACATACATTTTTTTGTCAATTTTGTTTTTGCACTACAAAATCATTATCCATATATCAATCAATATATTATATTTAGTATATATATATATTATATTAATATTCATTATTACAATATAATTAATATATATATATATATATATTGGTGTCAATAGTTTCCCTTTTATTTTTTGAGTGACTAAATAGTATCCAATATTTCTGATGAATATACAGTATATCTCTAAAAGGATATATATACTAATCTGATAGTAAAGTGAGTGAGTGAGTGAGTGAGTGAGTGAGTGAGTGAGAGTTTAATATAATAATTACAAGTAAATCATAAGTTTTATTAAATACAGGAAACGGCGACTAAGGAGATAAAGGGATCGTTAGATTCATCAGATTCTTGACATATAAACGCCTGGGAGAGTGCACTTCCTTTGTTTAATTAGCGATGAAATTATGATTCATAGAAATATAATATAATATATATATATACTGTATATCTAATAGTTTATATGTATCTACCGGTGCCCCCCGCGAAATCGTAGGCCTACCCTCCCTCCCCCCCAATACATACACACATTAGACATATATGTCTATTATTTGTTAATGTTGTCACTCGACTCCACTCTTTAATCAAATATTTATCTAATTATTTGCAAAGTTTTTATTTCGTTGTGTTGTTGTTGTTGTGTTGAAATTTCAACAATAATTTTCTCCATAATAATAATAATAATAATAATGTTTACCATAAAAAATAAATATTAAAAAAAAATTACAGTAATTTTATATTGTGTTTTTTGAAGGCTTAAATAAGGGTATATAATGTTTTTTTTTAAAAATTAATTGTATTTATTTAACTATAAATGATTTGTTAATTTAGTGTTTGTGTTTTATTTGGACTAAACATATATCATATCTTATTAATATAAATATATATAAACATAGATTTTTAGTTTTTTTTGTAAAAAAATGTTACATTAATTGAGGTCACAAATAAAGTTTATATAACATAAGTAATTAATACTAAGTTATATATATATATAAATGTTTATAAAAGTAAAATATTTGTTGTTATTACTACTATTATATAATATTTATATATACAGTATATACATATTATTTAAATATATTTTAATTGATTGATAGCTTGTTTCCGACAAAACAATTGCTTGTAATAAGAGTTATATATATATATACT